CCCCCCCTGCTCCGCGGTCCATGAAGAAAGAAAGAAAGAAGTCACTATTTTGTACTCAAATAGATGATAGCATTCAAGCGAATCAACTTATAGTTCAATACTCAAGAGACATTAAACACACGAGAATCAAATCTATTTATTTTTGCGCGGCTGCAAAATCAAGACACAAGACATGTCTAAAGATAAAATAACCACACAATACTCGAGGAAACACGTTTAAGAGTCTTCATTTTCAAGGGATGCAGCAAAATCGAAATAGAAGACAGTTGTTATAGGTTAAAGTTGAAATAACCAATATGAACGTGTTTTCTGTTAAACGAGTTTATTATAAAAGTAAGCAAAAATATCAAGACAAATAGAGGATATTACATGGGCGCGCGGAGATACGGATTTTATCTTCGAGTGTTGAAAAGATCTCTCACGAGTGAGCGTAGCGAATAGTGATGTTTCGTATCTCCAAGCGACCATGTAATATTCTGTTTATCATATAATTACATATGAAAGCAAATTATGTTGTAAAAATACCTTTTTTCTTTCTTCCAGTATATAGAGAAACCTCGAATGTGTTATTTTCACTAGTGAAAATAACATTTTTTCACTAGTGAAAATAACATGTTATTTTCACTAGTGAAAATATCAATTTTACGTAATGGAGAAATATAGGTATTTCATAGATAATTATATGATAAGATGCACTTTTCAATGTGATGGCTCGAAATTCTATCGATCAAAGATACATTATATGGCTAATTAATAATATAAAAACGGAGACGTACTTGACAAAAAACAACAGCGCCCTTTTTTACACAAATGTATCCTTTTGTTGAAGCTCTACAGGCTCTAAATAAACTGCAAGACGAGTTTATCGCTTGAAAGGAAAAGTTTGTGAGATACGTACCTTTTTAGCTTGAGACTGGCCACAAACACACTTTTTCCAGCTGCAGTTGTAACGGTTATAAGTGTAGCTGGCTAGTTGAGCTACGAGGACGACGTGTTCATTCATAAATGCTCGTGCACTTGCACGGCTCCATGAAATAACTTTCAAATTCTTGTGTATTTAATGTCTCCTGAGTATTGAACTATAAGTTTATTCGCTTGAGATCATAGCAGTGGCGGATCCATGTGTTCCTAGGAACCCCCCTCGAGCATTGAAAAAAAATAAAAATAAATGATAAATGAAATAAAATGAAAACGCATCGTACAATGAATTTTTATTCAATACTTTCACACTACATTTGCTACAGTTCGAGAGGCACAGTAAAAAAGTTCGTTTTAGGAAAATGCGAAAACAAAGAGGAACCCCCCTTTGAAAAATCCTGGATCCGGCACTGCATAGTTTTGTGAGTGATAATTAGTAATTTTAAATTACTTATTATTTGACTTACGGAGACTTGGGATCGAGTGTTTTTCAGCTCAAAAGAGAAACGTTTCATGAGTGCATTAATGATTCAAAATAATTGCAAGTCTCTCAGGTTATAATAATTAATGATAGATTGAAAATACTAAAAGTGTGCAACAAAAATACCAATAATTAGCTAAAAAGAGAAAAGTTTTGCAGGGGCGGTTCCGGGATTTTTCAGAGTGGGGTGGCTAACATTAAAATTTAATATTAAAAGACGTTACAATTAATTTGACTCTTAGCCTCATGTGAAATTATCGTTTATCGTTATCTCGGGCACATAAATAATATTTCGGACATCAACAAATTTTTATGAAAGATATTTATGAATATATAAAAATCRATTACTAAATCAAAGAGTTCTTCTAACTCTATATTTTCTTCGAAGATTATACATATTTACTCCGACGAAGGRTTAACATCCGAAACGTCAGTAAGTTTTTCCACATACTTTTTTACGGTGTTAAATTTATCTTTTTACATAACTGTTTCTTTAGAAACACCGACGCAGCTCACACTAGTTTACCGCTAGTTCCCACCATTATACATATTTTCCGGCCGTTATACAATAATCCTGTTATTTAATTTCTTTTTTTTTTCAAAACTTAAAGCCTTTATATTTTTTTGTAAATAAAAGAGGGGGTGGCTAGCCACCCAATACACCCCCCTAGATCCGCCCCTGCTTTGTATAAGTGAAATACTGTGACGTGGAAAAAAAATAGAAAAAAAATAAAGTCGCTGCATTTTATAACCGTGCCGCAGGCCTTCGGCTGAAAGACTGAAAGAACCAATCAAAACAAAAAACAAACAAACAAACAAACGACCTCATGGCATCATGGAAGTGGACCTCGATTCTCAGTATGGATTCCCTGTGTATTTTTGGTCTTCCTGTGGCAGCGTGCCATCTTGGATTCGAAATACAAACAACAGAAATTCTTAGTTTTTGATGGCTAACCTTCCGATCTCTGTATCAATCAACTGGAAACCTTTTGTATTTGGGTTTTTAGTTGTCTTCGGGTTGTTGTACTATTTCTCTGGTCATATTACAAGGATATTTCGACCGTCAAACAAGGCACATCCCCTAAAAATGATACGATCTGACTTCGTCAAATTTGGTGACGTTGAAGAAGCCATTTTTTATCAAACTATATCTCCGGATAAGCCTTTGCTGAAAGTGCTCTTTCTTCATGGTCAAAAGTTTACATCTGAGGATTGGAAAAAGAAAAATACGCTTGACTTCTTGGCGAAGAAAGGTTACGAAGTGTTGGCAATTGACCTACCAGGTTTTGGTAAGTCAAAGATGAAGTCTCCTTCAACGCCTGCAGACAGAGCGAAATTCTTGAGTGATTTTATTACAAAGATGGGCTATAAAAATGCTGTTCTGGTAGTGCCATCAATGAGTGGTTCATTCGCGTTTCCATTTATATTCACCGGCGAAAATGTTAAACTTTTAAAGGGTTTTGTGCCGATAGCTCCAGTTGGAACTGAGAGCTTCAAGGATGAGCAGTTTAAGACACTTTCTTTAGCAACCATGGCGGTTTTTGGTCAAGATGATAAGCTGTCATTTGTACCTGCTGCAAAGGAAAAGCTAAAGCTGATTCCTGGTGTTGAAGTGAAGACTATCGACCATGCAGGTCACGCTTGCTATCTAGACCAACCAGCAGAATTTCACAGCCTCATGGAATCATTTCTGGAAAAGTTACAGAAGTCCTAACATACATGTAAACTTTGAAGTGAAAAGTGGTTTAAATAGTCGTCAAATTGCCTAGGAAAAGGGAAAATATATTGAAGTCTCAMTTGATGCAGGCTATATATATATAACTTAGTCTATAGATGATTAGAAAAATTTACAGAACAGAACCAGTATGAATATGTGCATATGCCTGAGTGCATTGAGGTCAGACAACACGGGCAGCTGAGCTTGTAATGATAGGAACATATTCTTCTTCAAGTTCCCTTTGTCGTCTTGAAAGGTAGCTTTGTCTTTGCATCAAAGCGCATGCAGACGACCATTGAGCTTGCAGCAAAAGGAACCTTCTTTGGTAACTAAATACAATACCTGCATTATTCTCAGGTATCTGTTATTGTTATCTCGTGGGTCGTCTTGCTTGTATGTTGTAGTTCCCTTTTACAATGGTTCAGGGAAGTGCAGTAAAGGAGAATATTTTCAAAGTTGTAAAAAATGTATCTAAATCTCTACAAGCTCAACAGTTGACACCCTTTAAGATGGTGTTGGGAAATACAAACTGAACTATGTAGCAGACACAATCAATGAATATTAGCAATCTTGCACTCTAATTGGTTACTTGTTGCTAGGAAATCAATCTCATTCCCAGAGCCTGCATACTTCTCTTTTGGTTCTTGTCGCAGACCAAAAGTAATGTGGGCTCTAGGCACGAGATTGCTAAGAAATCAGCTGAGGTTCGCASATTAGAGAAAAATTAAGTGGTAATGARATTTGGAWATCTTACCAAAGTCAAAAATCCTACTGTCACTCAAAAAMCAAAGGACYKAGAACWTTCTTAATGYACAAWATCYAATKGCTRGGCATATATTAAAATAACAAACACACTTACTCTTGTTTTGTGTGAAGG